AGTTTGATTAATGATGCGTTATTCTTTAGCAATGTATGTAGGTATTAATTACTTACTAACTTTTGTTTTTCCTTTTTAATTTTTTTATAGATTCATATGTGAATTGAAGCACAAGTTTAGCTTGAACCCTACAAATTTAGCTCAATTGTGGTATGAATTATAAACTTAGTCTATGTTTCTTTTTCTTGATTCATGATGAAAGTTTTCTCATGCTATTACAACTTGTGTATTGTTTAATGACAAATTAATACAACAATATATAAATTCTTGCATCATCATATGCCTAAATACCTGTTCAAGGCTTTCTCATTAGGAGAAAGTCTTGAATAGTCCCCGGTTGGGACTGTTCTTGAACATTTACTCTCACTTAGGTGGTGAATGTATGTCTTCTTTTTTCTATTTTAAGGAACATATTGGCTTAGCATTTCCTCGATCACCATGTTCTCTAGGTACATATGTGGGTAAGTTATTACCTACATCGTGTACTTGGAGAACTGGGGGGAATTGCTGCCGGATTTTCCTTAAAATTGGAAAGTCAACATACATTCACTAGTGAGAGTAAACGTTCAAGGATGGGTTAGGTTGGAGTGATAAGGACCCTTTGGAAGCATATATGCATTATTGTATCTATATGAATGTTATATGCATGGTGTGTGTTTAAATTTGATTTACATATATAACAGATGTAGCAATTATACATTATTCATAATATGTTGCCATGTTTAGAGGCAATTTACTTAATGGAGAAGGATCATGGCTGGATGTATGATAGACGTGATACATTGAAATTCTTTGATGGGGTTCAAGAGTTTTGTGAGAGGGCTTCATCTTATCAGCGCAGAATGGGTTTCGATTGCCTCTATTGTCCTTGTGTTGATTGTAATAATGTGAAGGTGGTTAATAGTGTTGATATCATTAGAGATCATGTAGTTTGTCGTGGGTTTAAGCTTAAATACCATGTGTGGATTTGGCACGGTGAAGAAGGAGAGTACAGTGGGGATGTTATTGGGAATGATGTGCATGATGATAGAAGCAATGATATTCGTGTGGACGAGGAATACAAGAATGATGAATTTATTGCTGATAATGGTGATGAGGATGGATTTGATGATGATCAGGTGGATGAGGTGGAGGATGAAGGGGTGAATGAAATGATGCGTGGTGTTGAAGGTGACGTGTTTGAGTCGTTATTGGAGGCTTCTAAAAAGCCTTTTGTATCCTAGGTGCAAAAAATACTTCAAACTATCAGCTGTGCTAACACTGTTTAACATTAAGTCGAAGCATGGGTGGACGGACAACAGTTTTACGTCTTTGTTGACCGTGTTAAGTGAGATGTTGCCTGACGGGAATGAAATTCCTAAGTCATACTATTATGCAAAGAAGCTCATGTGTCCATTTGGTTTGGAGTATAAGAAGATACATGCATGTCCTAATGATTGTATTTTTTATCGAAATGAATATGAACAATTAGAGGAGTGTCCACGATGCAAGAAGTCGCGCTACAAGCGCATGAGTTGCAATGCTGGTACGAAGGGACCTCCTGCGAAGGTGTTGTGGTATCTTCCCATCATTCCAAGGTTTAAGCGTCTTTTCTCAACACCAAAAGACGCAAAAAACTTGAGGTGGCATGCAGAGGGAAGAAAGAAAAACAGAATGCTGAAGCATCCAGCCGACTCCATGCAATGGAAGAACATTGATATGAAGTTTGGTGAATTTGGTGATGAAGTCAGAAATTTAAGGCTTGGGTTGTGCACGGACGGGATGAATCCATTTGGCACTCTTAGTACCCAGCACAACACATGGATGGTCTTTTAGTGATCTACAATTTGCCTCCTTGGTTGTGCATGAAACGTAAGTATGTAATGCTTTCACTACTAATAACTGGGCCAAGGCAACCTGGAAACGACATAGATGTTTATCTTGCACCACTTGTTGACGATTTGAGAAAGATGTGGGACGAAGGGGTTTCCGTGTTTGATGCTCATAAGAATGAGATGTTCACCTTGCGTGCAGCTCTTATGTGGACCGTTAATGATTTTCCTGCATATGGAAACTTGTCTGGGTACAAGAACAAAGGAAAAAAAGCATGCCCCATTTGTATTGATGACACTCCAAGCATACACCTTGACAATTGTCACAAAGAGGTGTATCTGCGGACTCGAAGAGGCAGAAAAAGGCTTTCGATGGGAAAACGGAAGAGGGGACTGCGCCTAGGACATTGACTGGTGAGGAGGTTTATGATCGAGTTAAGGGTATACGAACAGTATTTGGGAAACAGAAAAAGCTGCGGACTCAACTGCTCTCTTTAAAAAAGAATCAATCTTTTGGAAGCTTCCGTACTGGAAAGAACATGATGTTAGGCACTGTCTTGATGTAATGCATATAGAGAAGAATGTGTGTGATTCTCTTGTGGGAACACTGATGAATATTTAAAGCAAAACAAAGGATGGAAAGGGTGCACGATTAAATTTGGAAAAGATGGGGGTTCGTCCAGAATTATGGGCTCAGGAAAAGGTTAGAAAGGGAAAGGAACAGGAAAAGAGAGATGAAACGAGTTTGAAACAAGGAAAGGGGAAGAGCAAGGGAAAAGGAAAGTCCACAGATGCGTTGAAGAAGAATTATGATGGAAAAGCAAAGGATGCCAAGGCTTATTTACCTCCGGCTTGCTACACATTGTCAAGGGTAGAAAAACGGATGTTTTGTGCATGTCTGTACAACATTAAGGTTCCATCAGGGTATGGATCTAACATGAAAAGATTTGTATCCTTAAACGGAGAATTGAAGCTGACAAGTATGAAATCCCATGATTGTCATGTTCTTATGCAAGTATTCCTACCAATTGCAATACGTGGTATTTTACCGAAGCACGTGAGGGAAGCTATTACAAGCCTCTGTTCTTTTTTCAATACAATATGCAGCAAAGTGCTTGATCCTTGTGCACTTGATGCTTTGCAGGCGGATGTGGTTGTGACTTTGTGTAAATTTGAGATGTACTTCCCACCCTCATTCTTTGACATAATGGTGCATCTTATTCTTCATTTGGTGCGTGAAATTAAGTTGTGTGGTCCAGTGTTCATGAGGTAGTGCTATCCTTTTGAAAGACACTTGGGTACATTGCAAAACAAGGTAAGAAATCAGGCTCACCCGGAAGGAAGTATGTTTCAAGGGATCGTGGGTGAGGATATTGCTAATTTTGTGGCCGACTATATAGCTGTTGCTGAACCTATTGGTCTTCCTACTTCTCGACATGAAGGGAGACTTGATGGTCATGGCACAATCGGGTCGAAACAAATGTCACCTGACCGAGATAAGTTTTTACAAGCACACCTATATGTGTTGCACCATGTTGCAGATGTTCACCCATACTTAGATGAGCACATGGCTAGTTTGCGTGATGAATTTCCATCGAAAGGTGAAAGGGCATTGATGCAGTTGCATAATAAGAGGTTTGTGAGTTGGTTTCGTGATCAAGTGATGGGTAGAATGGATGAGAGTGTCACTGATACAGTAAGGTGGCTTGCTTATGGTCCTAGGGATGATGTTCGCTCATTTGAGGGATATGACATACATGGGTACACTTTTTGGACTGAGCGTCAGGATTTGAAATATTCCTCGACCCAAAACAGTGGTGTAACGCTTGTGGCATCGTCAAGGGAGTTTGCAAGTGCTAAGGATAAATCACCCGTTGATGCAGAGTTATCATACTATGGTCGAATTCAAGAAATATGGGAGCTTGATTATTGTAGCTTCACGATTGCTCTTTTCCGGTGTAAATGGGTTGATAATATCAGGCGTAACGTCAAATATGATGACTTTACTCTTGTAGATCTTAGCCACCTAAATGATAGTGCGAAACCATTCATCCTTACATCTTAAGCTAAGAAAGTGTTTTACGTAACTGACCCAGTAGATATGAAATGGTCTATTGTGCTATCCGGCAAAAGAAGAATCCTAGGCATTGGAGAAGTCGAGGATGAGGAAGAATATGATGCGTTTGATGACTCGGCACCTGTCACTGTTCCTAGACCTGTTGTACCAAATGACGTAGACGACCAAACCAATTATGTGCGATTAGACCACAACGAAGGAATATTAGAATGAGGTACTATTTTTCAGCAATTTTGCAATTTTAGGTGTTGAAAGTATTATCAAATGACAGGTTAGCCAAAAATGAATTAATTAATTGTCATAAGTATTATAATTAGGCAATTTATATTTGATTTTATAACTGTACCTTACAAATGTATTTATAATACAACTACTAACGTGTTATGATTGTTATGGCAGGTGATTACATCTCATGGCGGACGATCAGGACTGTATTTGTGTCGAGGATGTAGAGGATGATGATGATGATTTCTCTGAGGATGGTGATGAGTTGTATGATGTGAACAAGGAGCCTGATTTGGGTGAGGCAGAAGATCAGGCTCAGGATGAGTTGGAGTGTAGGCTGGATGAATTTGAAATGGAGGCTGAACAAGCGCCTCCTATTGAAAATGCAGTTTCTGAGACGGTTGGTGAGAACGCTACTTCCCACAATCACAGCCAAGGACAAAGTGGAGGAGGGGTGAGGGCACCGGCTAAGAAAAAGGTGAGGGGTCCGACGACAAGTTTCAAGAAACCCGCCGGTCCCATGGTCCTGGAGTACGACAAGGAGGGCAAACCTGTAGGCAAATTCTGTCGTCCATATGCTATTCACGTTGGCATTTGTGCGCGTAAAATCCCGATTACACTTCGTATGCGGGAAGTATCTCCAGGCTTGATTGACACATTTTGGAATGATACAAGGGCAAGTGTTTTATTTGCATATTTATACAATTATAAATACCTTTACTTTAATGTTATGTAAAAGGGGAAACTAATAATCGACTTTATTTGTGTTTGCAGAGTCTGTTTAATATTTCTAATGATGCCGCCAAGCGAAGGGTGTTTGAATCTTTGATAGCGGAAATATTCAGAGGCTTCAAGAGCGAATTAGTTCGTGGTTGGATCACAAAGACTGTTGTGAAAAAACCAAAGAAGAAGAAAGGCAATGATGATGAAGTCATCAATGAAGAGCTACTCCCATGGCAAAAATGGCCAAACATATCGAAGGATGATTGGGAAGCTTTTGTTATTCAACAAAGTACAAAGGAAGCAATTGTAAGTTTAAGTAAATTTGATTACAATTGTATAATATATTATCTCTTTTTGAAGTAATAATACAAACAATTCTAATTACGTAGGAACTGAGGGAGCAAAATTCCAAAAATGCAAAGATGAAGCAATACACCCAACGTATGGGGTGTAAGACATTTGGTGAATGGAGGGAAACGTGGGTCAACGAATGAGTATACCCCACTTCGCTACTAGGGTCGTCCAAAGGACCCTCTTCTTCCACGATCACTACGCTGGTGAGTCGTGCTGGTGATTTCTTCTGTTCACTGCATGCGCGTGACGAGGAGACCGGAAAATGGGCCATCAAGGCTCCGGAAACCAAAGAAATGGCTGATAAGCTCGTAAGCAACTACGAACTTGAGAACTCTATGCTATTGGTTTTTGTTTTGTTGCGTTTAGCTATCTTGTATGTGTTGGTGGTCGGCTATTATTTCTGTTTTTTTTTTTGCTACAGATTGAACACACCGAAGAACTGGTTGAAGGCAAGCTCGTCCCAAGTGTAGACCCTTTCACCTTGGCTTTGGGAAAGCCCTACCATCCAGGACGGGTAGTAGGTGCAGGAGGGTCATTGCTAGGGTGGGAAAAGGTGATAGGTCCAGAGTATAACAAATCAGGAAGACCCCGAGCAAGTGTGAACTCACCTCATGACTTGGTTTCCACGGTGGCATCGATTAAGGAACAAGTCCGCAACGAGCTCGTAAGTGAATTTAACGCTTGGGCGAAGCAAATGAACCTACCGAGCTTGCCTTTCCCCTCGAATACACCCGTCGACTCATGTAGTCACCCAAAAGGACAAGGGGAAGATGATATACATGGAGACGATGATGCAAATGAGGTACTTTCAAAACTTTTAGTTTTGGCACATTGAGTTATGTAGGATCTAAGGTGGCAGTCATTAATTTCTTGTTGCAGGGTGGTACGCCTACACATGCGGACTCGAGGGAGCTCGATAATCCAGCACCTCATCATTTTCTAGATTTACTGGTGATTTTGTTTAGTTCTATTTTAGTGATTATGGGCACATTATCAATATTAGTGAATATGGGCACATTATCAATTGTGTAGGAAACGACCCCTTGTGATATGTTTGGTTCTAATAACTGATCTTTCAAATTGGTGTAGGAAGAGACCCGTTGTTCACTTCTACACCCGGACGAATTTGGAGCTTTGCATGTGGTTGCATATGGTAGTGCACAACCGGCCGAACAAGGTACGGTCCATTTGCGACCGCTTAGGCCACAACATTACTCGGTTGGGATCAATTCTGTTATTACCGGGTTCGAGGACATCCTAATACCGGTGCCCATAGAGGAGGATGAGATAACAACACTTTGGGCGGCAAAAGGTAGCTTTGTGCAGTGGCCATGTGCTTGGGTAAGGTTGATGAACCAGGTAATTAAGATTTTGGGTTCGTTCTTTACTTTTGCCCTGTTGTCTTCACAAGAGTTAGATGGATTTGTCTTTTCTAACCAATTGCGTGATTTGTTGTATTAGATTTCGCAAAAAAGACAAACTTCAAAGAGGAGGGTGGAACAACCAATAAGCGTTGATCAACCGGTGCCAAAGAAGAGGAGTGAACAAAGGTCGGAGAGTGAAAAAGGGTCGAAGAAGAACTCTTCGAGAGGTTCAGCTTTGCAAGCTACTCCACTTGTTGCTGACACGGTCCTTCAAACGCTGTCTAAAGATTTAACATTTCTACACAACCGTGTTAGTATGTTGTCTAGTGACACTCCCATTCAAGTTCCACTACCTAAGGCAATGTTCCACTTTGATGAGGATGCAGTTGCATGGCTAAGCAAAGAAGATGTGAAAGAATTTCTAAGTGGTTCAATGCTTAACATCTCCCTCGTTCAAACATTCATGAGGTAATTTAATGCCAGACACTATTATGTTATTCAGATTAGTGGTGATTGCTTGTCATTTAATTTCCCATTAATATTTTGTTACCATGCATGCAGAGCACTACAGGAGCACTTACTTGAGATTGATTCTCCGTGTCAAGTAGGGTGGTTATGCCCCGAGCAAATCTCCACTACTAGAATCTTAGGCAACTACCCTGACGTGTTGTACTATGTTGAACGGGGTATCAAGGAATCATTGCGTGCGGGTGAAAAGTTCATATTCGCCCCATGTTTTGAGGAGTACGTTTGACCATGTCAAATTCATTTGTTTCCCCTAATTATATGTTGTACACGACTAATTATTGACTTGTTTGTGTATTGTCCATTTCTGTAGTGCACATTGGACCCTGCTGGTGATTTGTGTTCCCAGTAACACCTCTTCCTTTTTGATTCAGCTCGATTGCCTCATCCGAAAAAGCTCATCGTGAAGTCTATACTGAGAAAGTAAATATAGCTATCTAGTGTTGATTATCCTTACTTAACTCATTTATTATATTAGTCATACTAATCAAGTTTGAACTTACTTTTCTATAGTGCTATGAAGAAGATAAATTGCCGAGCTCCTCAAGGTCCTACATGGAAATCAACGATGGTAATGCTACATGATTTTGTGATTTTTATAATAAACAATGCGTAAGATGTTGCTAATTTGTTATGCATGTTTGATTCATTTACTGTGTTCCTATGCTAGTGCGCACAACAAGATAACGGAGTTGATTGCGGACTATACGTGATGAGATTCATGTTGGACATACTGAGTCATTGTACAGACTTACAACAACTTGATGAGGTATGCCATTGACTTAGTTAATTTGCTTTTGTGGTGTGTTTTGATAAAAGTAAACCCTTGAATTGCGTCTTAAAACCCTTGAATTGTTCTTTTAATATGATTTCAAACCTTAGCCGCCTGTAACTAGGTAATAATGACATGTTAAGAGAAAGAATGAGTTGATTTGATAAGAAGTGTAGAAAATAGGCATACAAGTAGTGATAGAGGCCTTATTCGGGCCATTTAGGTTGAAAATGCGTTTTAAAACACTTGACTTGCTCTTTTAATGTGATTTCAAGCCTTAGCTGCCTCTCACTAGGTAATAATGACATGTTAAAAGAAAGAATGAGTTGATTTGATAAGAAGTGTAGAAAATAGGCATACAAGTAGTGATATAGGCCTTATTCGGGCCATTTAGGTTGAAAATGCGTCTTAAAACACTTGACTTGCTCTTTTAATGTGATTTCAAGCTTTATCTACCTCTAACTAGGTAATAATGACATGTTATGAGGAAGAATGAGCTAATTTGATTAAAAATGTAGAAATTGGGCATACAAGTAGTGATATAGGCCTTATTTCGGCCATTTTGAATGAAATTGCGTCCAAAAACCATTCAAATGCTCTTTTAATGTGATTTTAAGCCTTAGATGTCTCTCACTAGGTAATATTGACATATTAAAAGAAAGAATGAGTTGATTTGATAAGAAGTGTAGAAAATACGCATACAAGTAGTGATATAGGCCTTATTCGGGCCATTTAGGTTGAAAATGCGTCTTAAAACACTAGACTTGCTCTTTTAATGTGGTTTCAAGCCTTAGCTGCCTCTAAATAGGTAATAATGACATGTTATGAGGAAGAATGAGCTAGTTTGATTAAAAATGTAGAAATTGGGCATACAAGTAGTGATATAGGCCTTATTTCGGCCATTTTGAATGAAATTGCGTCCAAAAACCATTCAAATGATATTTTAATGTGATTTCAAGCCTTAGCTACCTCTAAATAGGTAATATTGACATGTTAAAAGAAATAATGAGTTGATTTGATAAGAAGTGTAGAAAATAGGCATACAAGTAGTTAGGGGTGTACACCGGTCCAAAACCGGACCGGACCTGGACCGGACCTGTTTGGACCGGGGACCTGAATTGGGTAATTATGAGGACCGGGGACCGGACCTGAATTAACAGGTCCGGTTCCGGGCTAGACCTGAAAAATCAGGTCCGGTCCAGGTTTGGACCTGAATGGACCTGTTTTGTGATTTTTTCGTTTTTTTTTATTTTTTTTAATAAAAAACTTGTTGGACCTGCATATGGACCTGCGTATGGACCTGTTTTGTGATTTTTAGACCTGTTGCATAATTAAATAATTACATACAAACCAAAATTATTAATCACAAAAGTACAAAACTACATAAAGTCTATAAAAGTATAAAGTCCCAATTCTCAAACACCAAAAATACCAAAAAAAAAAACATAAATTCGATATGAAGTACTTTTGGCTATCTGAAACACAGGAAACACTCTCTTATTATCCTTCATGCTGCGCCTATAACACTCTGCCATCTTGGAAGCCCTTTTCTTTTCTCCAGGTTTAAGATCCCGCCTATTCGATATGAAGTACTTTTGGCTTTGAGGAAATTTTCCTGCATCATGGCCATCAAATTATAATACAGTAATACATATATGAATTCAAATTATAGACAAACTCTAATGAGGAATGACTAGTTTGTATTACCTTCACTTGAGCTTCCTCTTCTCTCCCTCTTTTCTTCCGTTATTACATGACTTACATCCTCAGTCTCTTCTTCGTCTTCCTTCCACAAAGAATAATCCTCTGATGATGAGTCACAAATCTCAATTTCTTCTTTAGCCACACTACCATGGTTGATGTGGAGATTACTTGTACAAGAGAATCTTCTTGAGATTGAATTGGAATTAATGGAAAAGTGACAACCCTCTTTCTCGCAACCACTCTTGTCAAACACTGACACCTCAAACGAGGAGTCTCCAACAAAACGGAACACTAAGAAGTCATTTGTTTCCACTCCATTGTCACGAACAAACTGTTTCCATCCATCTGTAAACACCAATGGCCTTTCATCATATGTACTCGAGAGTCTGATTTTCCATTTGTGTTTACTTGGCGCTATAAGTGTACACCACGGGGAGAGTTTCTCCTTGAAACACTCCATGAACTTCTGAGGAATATTCTGCAAGAAATGTTCACCAAAAAATTCAATCAAGTGAGCTAATATATATTAATAATATAAGTGCAGTTGCTTTCATAACATATTTTCCTACCATTTGGTGCTCAAAATCGCCATACATGACCTTGAAGAATTGGTGTTTTGTTGCAGGAAGTTCAGACCAATAATTATAATTCTCCGCAATTTTACAGCCTTCGCATTTCTTCCCCATAACTGCAGTGATAAATTTAGGTGACACCGAACATAGAAATAACATAGAAATTCAGACATTATTCATGTTCCCATATTATATGTCAGAATTTACTCAAACTCCTGAAGAATTGGTGCTAAATTGTAAGGAATTCAGACCAATATTTATAGATCTGCTATTTCTCAACCAGTGCATTTTTCTGCAATGATAAGTTTATGCAACAACGCTTATATAATGACTAATAACATAGAATTTATGCATCCGAATGCATAAAATCAACTATTCAATTTGAAGCCATGCCAAAGGTCAATGCAAAGTACTAGATAAACACTAGACTACTAGATGTTTACAATCTAATCACTACTTTCTCTGCTCTTCTGATTTTATTAAACCCTAAAACCCTAAACTTTAAACTAAAAAAAACCAAAAAAAAAAACATAAATTCGAAGATAAACCATACTTGTTATCAATTCTAAACATTAAACCCTAAAACCCTAAACTTTAAACTAAAAAAAACCAAAAAAAAAACATAAATTCGAAAGAAATTCGAAAATAAACCAAAAAAGAAAAACATAAATTCGAAAACATTGAAGTAAAAAAAAGAAATTCAACATGCAAACATCAAATAATAATTATAAGCAATTGAAACATGAATAAACATATAAATTCTAACACTTAATTCATTATTTCGAATACGAAATACCCAAACATAATTAGATAATTTAGATTTACATTAAAAAAAAATAACTTACCGGAGAAATGGAAAATCGCGCAGTAGCTGTCTCATGCGGTGGTCGGTGGGCGCCTGGGCTTCGCCTGAGAGAGTGAGGAAGGCAGGAGGTGTCGGCGGTGGGCGTTGCCGCGTTAGGCTGAGACTGGAGACAGTGAGCGTGAGGGAGAGGGG